AAATTCAAAAAAATATGAATACTTTTCTGAAGCTATTTTCTTGTAGCATCTTAATGCAATTTACTATTTTGGAAATAAGCCACAATTTTACTTAAAAATTAAGTTGTTACTAACCTTTTTCAGTTTTTTGGTTTTCTTCAAATGGGTTTATTTTATTTCCATGTTCTATTTCAGTATTTATGAGATTTCTTTAAGTCTAAATAATTATATGTGTTATGTATACTTTGCATATTGGATTCCTCCCGAATTTTCACATTTGAAGCCATCCAAAAGAGCATCATCCAATCCATTAGATTCTATTTCTAATTTACACGTTTCCTCGCTAAATTCTTGTTTTATTACTTCCATTTGATTACACCATAGATAAATAACTAAATAAGGTTGAGTTTATCGAAGCGTTCGTTCGTTCGTATTTCTCTGCCACAGATCACCTACTGCACCTACCTCCCCCGAAAGGTTATTGCCGAAAGTACATCCACAGAACACTAATCACAACACAGAATACTAATCACAACTTTACAAAAAATCGTAGTTAGAGGTGTGCTTATTAGTTCTTTTAAACGAACTATTTCAAGAGAACTATTTCACAAACATGAACTAGTTCAGTGAACTAGTTCGCGAAAGAACTATTTGTAGGACCGAAATCGAAATCCAACCCTAACATAACTGGTTGCCAGATGTCTCGTCTCAATCATCACACAAGCTCGGCGCCGGTCGCCCGTTTTCTTCGGTTTTCAGTCAGTCTCATCACTAGTTCACTACCGTACAAGTAGTTGGGAACTATTTCTTTCGATCGTATGTTTAGGTTTAAATGGTTTAAAGTATTATGTGATTAGTTAGTTTTTATTTGCAAAAAATTATTAAGATTTGTTTTTTATTAACCGTTTTAAATATAAATATGGTCAACGTGTGATTTATTTTTATATTTACGTATATTTTAAACTCATAGGTATTTATAATTAGGTTATTTCTAAAAGCACCTTTACAAAAAAAATCAGTGAATTTTCTAGGAAAATTAAATAACACATTTTCATTCTCACTTTTACATAAAATTATATTTTATGTAAATGCCTCAATCATTTTAACCACAACTAAAATTTTTATTTCAAAATTACAATACAAGAAACAACACAGCATGGCAACATCCAAGCCAATACATGGGCATAATATCCGAATCATTATGACATTAAGATAAGACTTTATGTTATTGTCACTGTTATCTGAGGCTATTTTTTTTAACTAGTCCATCCATTCACAAAATAATAAATATATGTTCTCATTCATCCATTCATTATTTTCTTCTTTGGAAGTTGAGACACAATTTATAATGCAAATCGTTTGCAGTGAACTAGTTATATGAAAATTACTGAACTAGTTCAATTAGTTCAGTTGAAAGAATCGTTCATTTGAACTGTTTCGATGGTGAACTACACATCTCTAATCGTAGTTAAATATCATCAATTTTCATCATGGATCATGCACTATATTGTCTATTCGCTTAGCTAGGGCATATTTTGACAGACTCATTGTCGGAAACCTACAACACAACAATTCCTACTTCTCAGTATTAATGGCTCAAGTATACTACTATTGCAGACTTCTTGCTTTGAAAAAAAAGAAGAATTATTTTAAATAGTGGAAGTGCATACTAAACCTATTAAATTTTGGGTAGTGTATATTTAAAAAATATATTTTAGTTGTTATAATTTAACATAACTATTTATTATATGGTGCAGATAAATAAATATTGATTATCAGTAATTCGCAAAGTTCTATTTTATTTACTATTTAGTTTGTTTTTTTATTAATATTGGCTATGAGTACGTATGCTTGGTTGTATAGTAATTTCCAGCCACTTCGAGTCTGTCAAAAAGTAACTAACTTCGCAAAAAATAATTACTAAAATCACTAGACAGTTCGGACTGGGAATAGCGAACCGGGTATACCATTGGAAGTTCATTAAAGGTAAATTCAGACACATCAGTCACGTCTCGTCACAGTGATTGCGCCGAACCGAACAATCCGTCATATAAAATATTCTTTAATACAAAAATATGTTGCCGGCATTCACACTCATCATCAGTTGACAAACAGTTTCCCAGCTGTCAGATAGTTGATAGTTCTGTGACCAAACAGGACCGGTTCGGCGCCGAGACTATGACGGGACCATCGAGCAATAAGACAAAAGAGGGAATCTAATCGTTATAAAAAGGAGACCAAAAAAGTGGCCTCTGATGGCGGACACATCCGGAAATGCAAAGGCGCTAAATTTAAATTTTCCAACATTTGTTAACAATAGCTATAAAATATTTTTCAGACTAGAAAGTTTTATTAAATATTAACGATAATAGTCTAAAAAGTGACATAATTGGTAAAAAACTTCAATATAAATAAAATTTCATGTGACAGTTGGACAAACAATAACATAACCAAACTAAATTTGACTTCTTAAACAAGGAAAGAGACTGTCTATCCTTGTCTAAAGTGGCCTCTCAAGATGGCACTTCCTGTCTATCAATATGTTTACCCCTTCTACCTTTACATTCCCTCTTTTGTCTTATTGCTCGATGGACGGGACTGATGTGTCTGAATTGACCTTTAGACAGTTAAAAATGCATCGAGCAATAAGACAAAAGAGGGAATCTAATCCTTATGAAAAGGAGACCAAAAAAGTGGCCTCTGATGGCGGACATATCCGGAAATGCGAATGCGCGAAATTTAAATTTTCCGACACTTATTAACAGTAGCTATATAATATTTTTCAGAATGTGTCTTAGACGAGAAAGTTTTAATTAATTATTAATGATAAGAGTTAAAAATGCGACACAATTGTTAAAAAACTTCAATATAAATAAGATTTCATGTGACATTTAGGATAAACAATAACATAAACCCAACTAAATTTGATGTCAAACAAGGAGAGAGACTCTCTTTCTTGTTTAAAGTGGCCTCTAAAGATCGCACTTCCTGTCTAACAATATGTTTGCCCCCACTACCTTTACATTCCCTCTATTGTCTTTTTGCTCGATGTAAAAATGTTAAAATAAATCCACAGAATAAATCCAAATCCAAATAAGAAGAAATAGGAAAAAGTGGCAAATCTATAGAATAAGTGCCGAGAATTTGACATAAACGTCATGTCAAATTTGTGTCTGCGGTATTGCCATGTCCTTATTATGTGTATGTTTTATGCCTCAAATATGCTTTGAAACAATACATTTTTATTATATTATTTTATGAAATCGGGTATTTTTTAAAATTTTTTGAATTTATATGAAACACAAACGAATGAATATTTGTTTTTTTTGATATTAGTTGCAGTTAGTTATTAGAAAAAAAAATTATAATTGGCCTTGGTAGATTAGTAAAAAAACTTGGCAATACTGTCAAAATTTTGAAAACATAGTTGCCAGATTGCAACAGATGTTAGCAGATTTCAATTTTATGATTTTTATGACTATTTTCTTATAATTTTGGGGTGAAATTGTACCTGAATATCGTTTTGTTAATGTATTAGCTAGTTACTGGAGATTGTTCAGATCGATATTTTTTCAAATTTACGTTGCAGAGATTAAATTATCATTATTGACAATTTAATCCTTAAAATGTGAATAACAAAGTAAAGATATATCGGTAAAGATGTTTAATTAACTTTAATAACTGAAGAATTTAAAAGCTTAAAAAATCAAAGTTAATTTAAATTAAAAAATAAAAAATTAAATTAGTTAAACTTCTTTCAAAAACTTTAAAAGAATGTTGAACATTAATTAATATTATATCGCATGCTCTTTCAGGATTTATTTGTGATATGGCAACACTGCCAAATACAGATCTGTCACTAATCAGAGAACATACGAACACATCTCTGCCTGCACTAATCTTCTGTCAGCAGTGTCGCCAATCGGCGCATAATTATGCGATTTGCGCATAATTTATTGCCGGGCGCATAATTTTCGCATCCTGCATAAAATCACATAATTTCGCACAATCCAGCAAATCAAAAAAAAACAATGACAAGCCACAGTTTTATAATAAGAGTACTCGTCTTCTTGTTTGTTTTAAAAGAAAACGTTTGTGCTGACATTTTACACAGCCACAAAATAATAAACAATTGGGTTGAGTTTACCGAAAGTACAAGCTGAATATAGCCGCAAATGTAAAAATATTTCGTTTGGCAGTGTTGGCATGTTTTATAACGCATGTTGTATGCTTCAAATATAAAGAGATAAAGCTTTTAAAAAGTACATTTTGATTATACCATTTATTGAATTCTGCAATTTTTAATTTACATAAGCAATAACGAGTAGATATTTGTCTTTTTTGAGATTAATTGCAATTTTTTTGTAATCTGCAAACTGCTGATTTGACGATTGCCAAAATCTATCCTCTAATCTATCAAGGGTAATTGCTAAAAAAATTTCTAATTATTAACTGCAATAAATCTCCAAAGAAACAAATATTTACTCATTGTTTGTTTTTATATAAATCAAAAATTGCAGAAGTCATAACATAATATAAACAAAATGTACTTTTCTAAAGCTTTATTTTTTATATTTGAAGTATACAGCATCTACATTTACAAAAACATGCCAACACTGCTATAGAGAAAGTTTTGTTCTATGTTTGACATTTGTGGCTATAATCAGCATGTACTTTCGGTAAACTCAACACGTCATTGTCTTTAGCAAATAAAAATTACTTTATCGAAGAAAATTTTATATTCAAGACTTAGATACAAGAAAACATAAATAACTTCCTATATCAGAAACGATATATGATATGATACAAGAAAATGCATAGTGTCATACGCCTTTACAATGACAATTGACATGACGTGACAGATGACAGTAAGGTTACAACAGAGCGCATAATTTTGTACAAAATCGCATAATTTTTGACAGGAGTGCATCCTTCCATGCCCAGCCACTGGTAACACTGTCTGTCAGTTCCTCGGCACTTGTATGTTGTATAGGTACTATGAGGTCTGCCGAAAAAGTAAAATGGAAATAAAGGATGACAAATATTCGTACAAAAATGAATTATCTCATATAAAGTGCAAAATGGAAAAAGAAACTGATAATGAGAATTGCAAAGATACCCTGCTTTTGATCAAAAATGAATTTGAACAAGAAGTGCTTTCTGAACATGACTCTAAAGTTGATCTTAACAACATTGATGATTCAAAGATTTGGTTCAATCAAATCAATACAGCAGTTTTTATTGAAGATGTTAAAACAGAGAAATCCCAGAATCAAAATATAAAGTGCAATGAATTAAATTTGAATAAAGAACATCAGACAAATTCCCATGGTAAGTACAAATTATTTGTATTTATTTATTTATTTAGACATCTTACAAACACTATAGACTAGTAATTACATGTAAAGTGGTTAAGACAAAAATACAATAAATGAATGAAAGAAACGAACATTAATCCAATAGGAAAAAAATACAATAAACTCCTCAAATCTAGTGCTGATGAGCAAGCAATATCTTAAGTTCACAGCGTTTTACATTAAATATATCCACGTGAGTCAGTCTATTAAATACTTGTGTAATATTTCTATAGTAATTTTTAAGGAATAGATCTAGGTTAGTTATCCTTAACCTACTCTTGGGTACTCTTAAAGTAAATAAACTCAATTAAAAAATAGTTTGTGTACTTAATATTGTTAAAAATCTAGTATATATGAACCTAATGGCCTGACTGTTTCTTCTAGTGGTAAGTGACTGCAATTGAAATGAGTCTTAACATTACAATGTATGAGATCACATATGGATATTTCTTATTTTTCCTTACTTATAGAAATCTTAAAAAACGTTTTTGCACTTTTTCAATCATTTCTGAGTTTGAAAATGCAGTAGGAGACCAGATGATTTAAGCATATTTGATCTTTGGTCTCACCAGGGCATTATAGAGTTTTATAATTGTGCTTATTCTCAAATTTTTGCTATTTCTAATGACAAAACTCAAAGCATAATAAGCTCTGTTAGTTATTTCATAAAAGTGTTTATTGAACTTCATGTTGATTTTGAATTTAACTCCAAGATCCTTCATAACACTCACTCTCTCAACTTGATTATCATTAATATAATAATCTTCACTAACACTATTAAGTTTTCGCTTATATGAAACTACTGCACACTTTTTAACATTAATAGTCATTTTTGAATCGTTAAACAATTGAATAACTTATCTTGATCATTTTGCAATTGACTGCATCTTTCTTATTGGAGATTGTTTTAAAAAGTTTAAAATCATTGGCTTACATTAAGCCGTTACAAGATTTAATACAATCTATCAAGTAGTTATTAAATAAAATAAAGAGCAATGATCTTAGTTTGCTCCCCTGTGGGACTCCTGACTCCGTTCGGCTCGCAAAGATAAGAATACAGCCGAGGTCAGAATACCCTGCCTGTCGCAAGAGGCGACTAATGGGAAGGAAATGAGAGGTGGAGAGCCATCAGAGAGGTGTCGAGTTTGTAGAAACGAACTCGAGATGCATAGTCATCTTGGGGACCAGTCTACACTCCTAGTATCCGAGACGAGGATCTTGTGGGACCACTCTACTCTCATTCGACAAGAGCCAGGTGAGGTTGGACGAGCTGGCCCGTAAATACCTCTCATGGCCTTACACCACCGAGAGTGGTGTCAGTGTCCCTGCACATACCCACCTGGAATCATTCAAGAGTGGTAGATGAGTGTTCTTTGGCGGAGACCTGTCTATGTGCGAGGTGGAATCTTTCCCCTGCGTCACCTTTCCGCCCCAGGGGGTGGGAGATCTCCAGAAGGGTTACATACTTTCGACATCTTGCCGCCTTAGTTGGTTTTGGACTCGTAGGGCAGTGGAGTCGCTAACGGTCGTATGCCGAAAGGCCAGGTAGACCAGGGTCCTGCCAAATTTATATTTGGAGGGGGGCACAAACTCAGGCTATGTGGGACTCCTGAGGATGACACATGTTGCTAAGAAAAGCAATTACCTACTTTTACCGTATTTTTTCTATCTGACAAATAAGATTTTAATAAATTAAAAGCTTTTCTTGAGAAACCAAACTGTACCAGTTTATCTAAAAGAATACAGTGATTTACCTTATCAAATGCTTTTTCACAATCAGTATACAGAATGTCCAACTGTTTCCCTGTCCCCTTCCCAGAGATTAGTTACTGTTGATTTGTCACTTACAAAACCATACTGGTATTTGCTGATTTTATTCTTAACATGCTCGTATCATCATAAAGAATACTTTCAAAAATCTTAACAATACTATTTATTTATTTATATACAGCATCCATTTACTTACAATTTTTACAAAGTTACATCTTAAAAACAATATATTATTAAAATAACAATCACAAGTTTTAAAAAGTTACACCTTAACAACAATAAATTATTAAAATAACAAACACCTCAGAATAATACAAACATATAAGAATAATACAGATGTACAACCAACTTATTGTAAGATATTTTTTAGTTGTTTTTTAAAACAAACTAATTTTTGGAGTCAAAAATATCTATTTGTCTTGGCAAGCTATTAGCACTCCGGACCAATCGTGTAGTTGGTTCATTGATACCATAGTTAGTGTGGTGAAATGGCATCGAAAAGATTTGTTTGTCTGTTGCTTCTACTAGGAACTTTAAGACTAACAAGCAATAAGAGTTGAGGAATCTATAAAAGCATTGATAACTTTGTGTAAGAAACATAAATCTAACAATGTCCTCCTTGACTCAAGTGTTGGTAAGTTAAGACTATCTTTTACCCACTGATAGTCGTATTCCTCTCTTCTGTATCCACTCTTATAGGCTGCTATCCTCAAAAATTTATTCTGGACTCTTTCAATCTGTTGAATGTAATAGTGGTATGATGGGGACCATACAACTGATCCAAACTCAAGAATGGGCCTAACGAGACCACAATAAACTCTTCTAAATGTAAATAAAGACATATCCACAGATGTGCATTATATAAATCCTAGCACTTTCATCGCTCTGTTTGTTACTTGGTTAATGTGGCTTGAGAATGACAGTTTGGTGTCTAACCAAATTCCCAAATCTAATACCTTATTTTTCGAGGCTAATGGCAAGTTATTTATGTAGTAAACAAATTTAATTGGATTTCTTTGCCTCGAGAATCTCATTTTATGACATTTGTTTATATTGAGTGACATTTTGTTTAAAGTGCAAGTTAACTGTCTGCATACGGCCACTAACAAATTCTGTAATCCACTGAAGAAGGGGATCTAAAATACCCAAAGCTCTTAGTTTTTGTAATAGGACCCCATGGTTTACCCGATCAAATGCTTTGGAAAAGTCAGTATAGATTGAGTCAACCTGGCACCCCTCTTCAAAGCTGTTATATATATGATTGACATACAAAACCAGGTTGGTATCTGTTGACCTCCCTCTCATAAAGCCAAATTGTTCAGGATTAAAAATGCCTCTATAACTCCATGTCAGTTTCTTACTAACCAAACAATCAAGCAACTTGGGCAGCTCCGACTGATTACAGACAGCTCGATAGTTTGATATATCGTTCCTTGCACCCGATTTAAAAATCGGCTTTAAAAAACTTTTCTTCCAGAGACTGGGAAAGCTACCAGTACCAAGTGATCTTTAAAAATAAACAAAATTGGTTTTGTAAGTACACATATATACATTTTTTCATAAAATAGGCTGGGATTCCATCCGGCCCTGCACATAATCTGTTTTTACAACTTGCAATAGTATCATAGACCTCAGTTGCTGTAAGTATTATAGAACTCAAACAAATAGAACTGTCAAAATTAAAAAAAGGTAAAGTATCTTTTTGTTCATCTGAGTAGACTGATGAGAAATATTTTGCGAACATATTGGCAGAGTCCTTCATATTTAAGCCAACCCTATCCCTATAGACCATTCTGGATGGTATATTATACCCATTTCTTTTGCTTTTAATATAAGACCAAAAATATTTTGGATTATCGGAAATGTTATTTTGTATCCCATCTAAATACTGTTTCTGACAGTCTGCTCTTAAAATTTCACACTGGTTTCTTAAAGCCACAAAACGGTCATAATCATCTTGCCTACCACTAATTTTAAATTGTTTGTGGGCCTGTTTTTTACATATAATTAGGTTACGCAGCTCTGACGAGAACCAAGAGGGAAAGGTAGAGGTTTTATATTTCTTTAGTGGAACAAAGTGTTCTATCAGTGAGTAAATTATATCATAAAAATGACCACCATACTATCAACTGTACCATTAAGAAACAGTACCTCCCAATTTATACTTGCTAAATAATTATTTATTGAAAAGTAGTCACCATTTTTGAAATCATAAAAGTATTCCTCGTAATTCATAACATCAAAATTTTCTTCACACACTAGTTCAAAACTGATAGCTGTATGATTTAAACTATTCTCAAAAATTTTATCTACTGCTAGAGTAACATTAATAGATTCCAAATTGCTAAAAACCAGGTCCAATGGGACTCCTTTGAGTCATTTCCAGTGCCCCTCACTGTCAATCCCAACTCATCATTGCCCCATTGTGGTAGGTTGTAACCACCTGCCAAGACAAACAAACTATCTGAAAAATTAGTGTAAACATATTCAACAGTTTCACAATGACTTAAATAAGACTGAGAAGGTGATGGAGAAGGTATATATACACAGCCAATAACAAAATTTTGAGTTTTGATTTTAAATGATAGGTATAACTGATATATGTCAGAGTCAACAAGAGGAACTACGATTTTTTGAATAGAAAGGCTCTTTCTAGCTGCGATTAATACACCACCTCCACGTGTCTTTAGAGTGTTTTTTAAGCCCAATTCACGATCACATCTATAAATGTCATACTCTGGAACTCCCACTTCAGCATCAGAATAATCTGAATTTAACCAAGTCTCTGCAATCATTACTATATCATAGCAGGAACAACTCAAAGCTTGCTGGAAACTCTGTATTTTTGTTCGCATGCCCCCAGTGTTGAGATAGTAAACACATACATTTGATTTTGATTTCAAGGAGTCATTTTTAGTTATATCCCGGTCTGATCTCCTCGATCTTGTTGAAAATTTTCAGATTGGCGTTTATTGGAAATCCAAAACCTTCTTAAAATGATGCCTTTAGGCCAAATATCCGCCTCGAAAAATCTTCCTTGTCATCTGGATGGATGCTTATTTTGAAAGAGATATTTTCACCTTTAACTGGTAGCGGTTCAACCTTAAAATCCCTAATATTTGGACATTGCTTCTTAACATGTTGTTCAATAAAGGTGGGTGTTATGCCAATTTTTACGCGACCAAGATAAAAATAAGCTTTATGAAAAGAACTAGCAAAATTTTCGTCTCCTTGGAAATTCGCTTTACCCAAAACAAAGTTTTGGTCATTTCTCCTGGCCTTTCTTCTCTGTACCAGGGTAAATTTTTGGTCATGATCAGCAGAATGTTTTGTTTTCAAAGTTTATTTTGTTTTTGTTTACGATCTCTTCTTTTTCTCGATGTTTGCTTTGGCCTGAGGTTACATTTTCTTCTTTTTCTAGATTTTCGCTGTGGACCAAGGTCTTCTGGTCTTTTGGCAAGTGGGAATTAGAAGAAGAAGAGCTAGCAACGTTGACTTTCTCTGCTTGGCCAGCTGATTTCGATCTGCCATTGTCCTCTGTTAGGAGGGGAGGTTGGCGTTGCCACGTTTACCCGGCTTTCTGAAGAGCTCTGATTTAGTTTCGAAGTATCACTCAATAGTTTCACTAACTCCTTGTTGCTGTCGATCACCATTTTAGACGTCATTACAAGCTTTTCTTGAAGATTCTGTTCCAAAATCTTCATACCCTCACTAAGTTCACATTTTATCATTTCTTTTATGGCATTTGATAATTGTGGCATGGTTAGTTCAGCATTTCTTGGGTTCCTAATCGGGCTATCAATATTAGAGAACTGATTTATGCAATCTTTGCACCATATTATAATGGTTCTGGTTTTAGCAATCTTATTTCTTTTGCACATCTTATTTCTTGAGAGGAAATCTTGCTACACTCCTTACATGATACTTTCTTGCAGTTATCACAAGCACATCCAAACAACAGAGTTTTACTCTCTTTAAAATAACAGGTCTGATCACAAAAACCGCACTTTAGCTCCTCCATCACTATAAAGAAACAACGGAGCGAATAACTGGCAACGCTGTAGATTATTGGATCCTCAATAAACTCAAATATCAGGGCGAATTTTACTATTTTTCACAGGTATTTCACTAAAATTACTAGCACAAAACTAAGTTAACAACAATTAACATTGAATTAGTTATTAATTGTAAGTATACATGTCTCAAATATACATTTTTATAGCCGATCTTTACCGCGTGCTTTGACCTTAGACTTGTCAACTTAGACTATTTAATAGGCTGATAGGCCTGTAGTTTTGAATGTCATTTTTTTATCTTTTATGTATTGTATCTTTAGTTCATACGGTAGTTCATTTTTGAATTGCTAAAAGTACTCCTCCACCTCGAAGCTTATGGTCTGACTTATCTTTCCTAAACACTGTGTACCTATTATCAAAAAGTTCAGAATCAAAAATACCTTCATTCTGCCATGTCTCAGTAAGGGCAATTATGTCATAGTTTTCAGTTAGAGCTTCAACATGTATTGGCTTTGGTTCTTAAACCACATACATTTTGATAGTATATTGACATCAGTTACTTTGGTGTAATAATGTTCATATTACTTACTATTTGTGTTGATTGAGAGGGTCCGTTTATTTTTCTGTCAGCACCCTCCTCTTGATTATAATTGAAATTATTGACATTTTTAAGATTGTGTATTCTGCTTTAGTTAACTAATGTAAAATGCATTTTATTGGCTGATCAAGTTTAATTTTTATGTACTTTCCATTTAAATTATGCCTTAATTTTAAAACCAGTATAAACTGATGAAAAATGATCCGCAAATAAATTAGCAATTTCATTGCCACATGAAGCTACAGTCATTGTAGCATTTTCAATTCCATTGATTCTTTTAAGTATATTGAAACCTCCTCGTATAAAAAAATATATTAAAAACTTCTTATATATTTTTAAAAAATGAAACGAAGAATTTTTCCGTGTTGTTAGTTCGTATCTTTCAAAGTACCCAAAAGTGTTTCGTCGCCGAGTAATAAAACCATTTGAGAGTTGTTTATTTTACTTCGGCAATCTCTTTTCATGTTTATGCGTCGCAAAAGGATATGTACGCCGTTTTGTTGGTTTTGCTATTTCAGCAGTTTGTTTATTTTCAAGTTAAGCGAACACATTTTTAATTTCTTTACTCTCGTTGGAACCGCCAGCAAGAGCGGTTCAGCGTTATGTCCAAATTCATGTCGAGTTTGTAAAATTTTCTGTTTTTTCGTTGATTGTGTTGGAAATGGGTAGCAGTAGTGATGGATTTTGTCCAGTATGAAGTGACCGGCATTAATTTGCCGGGAGTAGTGAAGTTTTCGCTCGATATTTCGAGATTTTTGAAAAGTCTGGTTTCTGTTGGAGGGTTCATGTTTTTTTTGAGAGTTCCCGTTTTCCCTGGTGTGTTCCGGCCCCCAATGGATGTCCTGTTCCTGTTTCGGCCCCAAATGGATGTGTTTGCTGCTGATCTCCGGATGGATGCTACAGATATATAACAAGTTCTTTTTGTGAAGTAGAAATATGTAAATCAAGGTAATTGTATTTTTTTGTGTTCAAATTTTAAACTAAAGACAGACAATTTTTTTTTATGAAATAATAATTGCTTTCGTTACATTTAAAATTGTAAATTTTTGGTTTTGAGTTGAGCTGTCAATTTATGTGTTTAGTTTTTTTGAAATTTAATGTTAATTTATGACAGCTCGTTTTATTATTTTTGATTTTACTTTGTTTTGTTTAAAAAAAAAAGGTTAACCTCCATGCAATTTTGTAAGTTTTGTAGCAACAGAGTTTGTAAGCGGATGACACATCTAAGTTTTTGTGTTTTGTTTTTTCTCCACGTAACTGTTTGTGGTGACACACAAATAAAGGTTAAATTTTGTTGTCTTAACTTTTATATTTATTTTTTTGAGCCAAACCTTTTTTGATTCTTATTTGAAAAAGATATGTTTTTTATGTTTTCTAATTTTATTGTTTTCTAATTATTTCCCTAGTTACAACTAGTGGTTGTAATAGGCATAATTAGGCACCTCAAGTGGCGCCCTATATTAAATTCCTTGAGGTGTTTCTTGTTTATTTTATTTTGTTTATCCCAAGAGCCCTTTATTTCATTTTTTTGTAGTTGCCCCATTCCCATGCCCTTATCTTTTACGTATCCACGACCCCAGCTCTCCTACGAAACCCTGAGTGCCGTTCGCATCAGTAGCGATTATTTTGCTTGCCCTATCTCCACCCCCCAATAGTTTCTTCCCTCAATTTCCTACTCCCTGTATTAATCAACCCTTTGGTAGGCAAAATATTTTCGTTACATCATTAAGGATCATTGAGTCAGGTGTACTATTGTTTTTGTGTATTTTTAGAACTGTCCTACAATGCTATACATTATTTTAAATTGAACATTCAGAGAAACATATGTAATTATCATAGCAACATTTTGATAGATTTTTATACTCTCTTCTTAGATGACAAAATTTAATATATCACTGGAATCCTTAATGTTTCATAAGCTTTATTTTTATCATGTGAGAATTGCTTTAACTCTGAAGAATACCAACAAGAAAAAAGCGTTAAAAAATTTGAATTTCCCCCCAAAAATGTAAAAAATACCATGATATAGACAATAAAATATTCTATGAGCTAAAAAAAAGAATAGGTTTTTACGATAAATAAAACCAAAGATATCGTCAAAAAAACAAAAAAAGGCGTTTTAATCTTTTTGAGGTTATGTTTGAGTCTAGGACTCCAAAAAAATTTTTTTGTCTAGTATTTTTTTATGTGGTACATGGTACACCTGGTATTTTATTTTCGGAATATTGCGGGGGGAATTTTACTATCAACCGGTTAGACTGAAAGCGATTTTTCATTATTTTGATTACGATGTGATTGTCGGCAATCGGAGACAATCGTATATCTCCCCAATACACAATAAAGGCACAAAGACGGATCCTAAAAACTATAGAGGGATCGCAGTGATTGCTACTATAGGCCGACTATACTCAAAAGTACTACGAAACCTGATAGAAAATGGCAATAAAGACAAACAACTCAAAGAACAAGCGGGATTTAGGGCCGGACGCTCCACTATGGATAATATTTTCACATTAAATATTGCAATGGAAAAACGAGTGCAGAAAAATAGAGAAACCCATATAGCTTTAATAGATTTGGAAAAACCATATGACAGTGTACCGATCTCCCAACTATGGATAGAAATGGGTATCTTGAAAATAAACAAAATTCTTATTAACGCCACTCAAAAATACTACGAACAAAACTTTGCAAGAATTAAAATGGGACAAGAAATCACCTCCCCAAAAAGGCTGCTGTCTGTCACCCACCTTATTTAAAATCTATTTGGACATATTCTTAGTGAAATGGGAAAAAATGTAGAAACATGGGAATAACGGTTGAAGAAAACACGCTATATACACTTTTCCTTGCGGATGACCAGGTAGTAATTCCCGAAGACACCGACGATCTTAGCTACACGGTAAGAAAACTGCAAGAAGAATATGAGGTGGCAGGTCTAAACATGAATATGACAAAATGTGAATATCTATCAGTGGGAACAGATGAAATATGTGACCTAGTCTTGGAAGACGACAAAATCAAAGGCGTGCAATCCTGCAAATATTTGGGGGTCATTTTCAACAAGAAGTGAAATAGCGCAGATGAAATCAATGAAAGAATAAACAAGGGTAGAGCAGTGACCCGTGCCTTAAACTCTCTTCTCTAGCAAAAAACAATTCGACGAGAAACCAAAAACACATTTACGGTAGTATAGTCTAAAGTATTACACTTTACGGTTTGGAAGTATGGGACGTCACCAAAGCTAATAAAAACAAACTTATGACGACAAAAATGGATTATTTGAGACGAAGCTGCGGTAGATCGAAACTGGAGGGAGTTAGAAACGAACAAATAAGAAACGAAATGAAAATGGAGCGAAATATCAATGATGACATAGAAAGAAAACAATTAATCTGGTTCGGACATGTTAAAAGAATGCCAGAATACAGATGGTTTAGAAGAGTACTGG